CGAGGTGCCCCCATTGGCTCTGGAGCCGGCCTGCTTGGCTGGGACCCCTGACCCCACATTCGCTGCTGGGGCGAGTTACTTCACCCGTCTCCATGCCCCTTTCTGACATATAAACTTGGAATGGTGGTGTCACCTACCTGAAAGGTTTGCCGTGAAGAGGAAATGGCTCAATATTTCTAATGTCCTTATTATAAGAGTACCTGTCGCTTAGTAAGTTTTCACCTAAGAAATGTCACCTAATAATACTCATGAGTTGCACTGTAAGCTCTGAGGGACAGAATTCACAGGAGTTCCACTTGTAAAGCACCCAAAGCTCTTCAAGCGGCGCCCTCCATGTGCATATGCTCAGTAAGCGTTTGTGGGATCAAAGCCGCCCCCTGTGAACAGGAGAAGGCTGGGATCACGGGACCAGGTCCCTTTGAGGGCGGAGCACCTCCCACCCCTCCGTAACATTTCCAAAAACAGGAAAGTCGCTGGAGGTGTTCCGATAAAGATGAGGCAGCCTGGCTGCTTATTCTATCTCTCAGGAGCCCTAGTGTTCATTCATCCATTCATTCATTAATATCAATATAGCAACAAATATTTGTTGAGCACCCACCATCTTCCAGATGCTGCTTAGGACTGGGGACAGAGCACTAACAGGACAAACTCATAGACACTGCAGATAGACCTTACAGTCAGGTAGAGGTTAAAGCACGCAGGCGTGGCTATGGAAGCTGATATGCAAATACACAGATGTAGATACACAGATAGACATGTAATATGTATTGATATGTTCTATGCAGATCAAGCACCAGATACACTCATTTAATCACCATTTCAAGCGCCATGTTGGGGTTTTCATCAGACACCGGTTTAACAAACAATAATTCAATTACATGCACATGAATCACTTCAGGCTGCCATCTGACAACACTTCCGTTACAAGACATAAACCAGGAGAATAAAATAAAGAGGGAAATGTATCTGATCTTCAACTCCCCTCCAATCTAACTTATCTAGACCCCCCTACACACACAACATTCCCTTGAAAACTAAATCTTCTCCTGTGGTACCCCTGGAAATTTGGCCACAGCTCAAATACAAGGAGACAATTTTTAATTTTTTTTTTTTTTTTAGCTGAGCCATCCTGCTACCCATTGGCAGCTCAGCGGCTGCTCAGCTCGGGCTGGACTCGAACCGCTGTTGCTCAGAGCTCAAACTCTTGTGTGAGCTCTTAACCAACTGAGCCACTCAGCCGGCCCTTTTAATTTTTTTTTTTAATATCAACTGCCCTTTGAACTTTTTCAACCCAGGTATTCTCTAAAGGGTTTCCAAGGATTACTTTGATTGCTGTTAGTTCCACCTCACACGCGGCGTTTAGACCAAGTGTCTATGAAAGGCGCCTCTCCACTGTGTCACTGTCACCTCATTTGACAGATGAGGACACTGGGCTCAGAGGTGTTAAGGGTTTTGGCCAAGGTCAGTGGGAAGGTTTGAGCTCCTGTCCTCTGTCTGAAAGCTCACCCAGTGGACTCCCCACCTCTGCATTGCTTTCTTTTACAGTACTGAGCGAGGTTGCTTCTCTTTTAATT